ACTTATATACATAGAGAGATGACTTTCTTATATTTAATTATTACAGTATTGTTGTTGTTTTTCTTGTATATAATTCAGCATACTTGTGGTAAATTTCTTCAGGTTGTGACAAGAAACCGTACCACTTACTGATCTGTTTCTAGATAGATGATTTTCAGAAAGACACCGTTATACTACATAATAATTTTTCATAATAGTAAGTCTGTACAAGTTTGTATTTTATAAGTTACCTCAATCTTCACTGATACTTCATTATAATAGCTGATGATTATATTAAAAATGATATTTCTTAACTGTAACAAAATTTTTCTTTTATAATTTTAGAGCACGTCCTTACTATAAAATGTATCAGGTAAGATTATTGTCCAGGAATCATACATACACATCACATACAACATTATGGCTGATTTAATACAGAATTCTTCGACTTGTATGCAGTATTGGTTTTTTTCTCTAGCAGGAAGATTTATACATTTGTGATAGCTTACCCACTGAAGAGGAACAAGATGATAGTAATGACTGTGATGTTAAGAAAGTTCAGATAATATCTAACCTAAATGTTAGAAACCTAGAATTTATCTTACTCTAAAAATGCTCCATCTGTAAAGAGAGGGAAGCATATACTAATCACTTTGTCTGTCTGTGTGGATGTTAGTCCCATATTTGATGTGTATATGCACCTAGCTAATAGCCTTCCTTCATATTACTTTTCTCTATAAGGTCATCATTTATCAGTATGATTAATCAGTAAGACATTATGTTAGTTTATCATTTACGGTGAACAATTAATATCAATTTAACATTTATAATAAATAGTATTGAAAATACTTCACATTTGCAACAAAGTGAACTAAAAATGTAACAGTTTTGTAACAATACAACTGGGCAATATTAAATCTAATTTTCATCAACTCCTGCTATTTTGTTTCCTTTTGTCTTTGCCATCAGAGGTAATGGGAACATTTATATCTCTATTAGTCATAACGGAGATTTTTCATCCTCGAGTATTTCTTAAAAAAGGTTATAAATAAATACAAAAATATTATTTTATTGTTCCTGTGGTCATCTGCTCTGATATGTCAAATCTTATAATTCCCCATTATGAGACATACTATCTATGAACTGCTCTGATACGTCAAATCTTATAATCTTCCATGATGAGACATACTATCTATGAACTGCTCTGATACGTCAAATCTTATAATTCCCCCATGACGAGACATACTATCTTAGAACTGCTCTATGTCAAATCTTATAATCTTCCATGATGAGACATACTATCTAAGAACTGCTCTATGTCAAATCTTATAATCTTCCATGATGAGACATACTATCTATGAACTGCTCTGATATGTCAAGTCTTATAATTCCTCCATGATGAGACATACTATATAAGAACTGCTCTATGTCAAATCTTATAATCTTCCATGATGAGACATACTATCTTAAGAACTGCTCTATGTCAAATTCTTATAATCTTCCATGATGAGACTATACTAT